TCCCCTTTCCCAGGAGCAAATTCCTCCAGGGCTCAGGTGGGCCTGGTATTGTGCTGGGAGCCAAAGACAGACCCCGCAACCCCACCCCGTGTCTCCTCACCACTCAGGCGCCCCCACAGCCACGCCCATCCTCTCCGAGCCTCCCTGCAGAGCTCCCGCCCATCTGCACACATTCATGCTGCTACGGGTGGCAGGGGCAGCAGGGGGACCCAGGGAGGCCGACCCCGCCCCAGCTGCCAAGACCGCCTTCTCCAGGCAGAGAGAACCTGCAGGCAGGCCCAGGGGTGAGGCTGAGGTGTGGTGGGAGCTGGCAAGGCCTCTAAGTGAGAGGTGGGTAGAGGGCAGGAAGGACCATGAAGGGGCTGTTCTGCAACACCCCCTCCTGGGAACCACCTGGCAATGTCCGGGGACCTGTGGTGGTCACACCTGAGGGTAGGGACCAGGGATGCCACCCATGCCCCTAAGGTGCTCAGGCCGGTGCCCACACAGAGAATGCCTCACGGGTTGGGGGTGCCCCATAGGGCTTTCACAGCTGTGACCTTTCAGAAGCAGACCCCCAGGCCTCTCTTCCAAGGTGCTGCTGGGCGGTGTCCAACCATCGGCCTTTGGCTCACAGTCGAGCGGAGCGGGTAACCATTTGGGCTTCCCGGAGTCCCGAAATACTGGCAGGGCCCAGTGCACTGCCCCCGGACATATTAACGCAGGGCAGGGCGGATCCTGTAGGTGGCGACCCCAGCAGAGGGGCGCTCCTCTGTCCTTGCCTGGGCCAGGTGCTGGGGCTGACCCCGGGCCAGCTGCGGGCCCCTATCTTGGGGTAGCCCCTCTTCAGTGGCCTAAAATAAACTCGGTGTGGAGAATGGAAATGTCACTCTGGCCAAAGGGGGAATCTTTCTCTGAGGTTGGATTTAAACTACATTATACAAGCAATTTCATGGGCACTTAGCGCCGCTTGGAGTTCCACGGTGGAGGGAGGGGGTGGGGAGGGGCCCCAGCTCTTCACTTACCAGCCGTAAATCAGCGGTTGCTATAATGAGCACAAAAATGTCACTTTTATGCAATTTTACAGATGAACAAAACTGGCGAAATTAACTGTGGTAACCTACGGTCGTCAGCAGAAGCAGCGGCTGCCGGGGGGGAAAAAATTATATCCGTATGTATTTTTGTCACCCTCAGACTCTCTTCCCAAGCAAGTTTCCGCCACTGTGGTATGAACACTCATTTGTCCTCGCCATTATACTTTCATTTGGAGTTTATCTTGAATATCCAATGAGCCACCAACTGTGAAAATGATTAAATCTACAAAATCTATCTAGTGGTGGAATAAATTAAGTGTTTAAAGCCAAAAGGAAGTGTGTGTGTGTGTGTGTGTGTGTGTGTGTGTGTCTCCGTCTGTCCATCCAGGGGAGAGTGATGACTCCTCTTGGGCCCCGTCGCTGACATGGGGATGCGGCTCTGTCCTGTCTGGTCAGCAGGGCTGAGTGAGGCTGACTGGCCAGCCGGGTTTTGGTGGCACCGCCATTGCTGGGGCGGCAGCGTGCGCAGACCCCGTGCCCCCTGCCTTTCTCGACGCCTCTCGTCCGGCTTGCCCAAGGCCCCTGGGAATTCATGCTAGTACTTGGCAGTCAGTTTCCAAGAGGTCCCTCACCACAATGGCTACTCTTGGTTTACACAACCTTGTTAGTGCCCTCCCTGGACGGGTAGGGCTGGCCTAGGTCATCAAAGACGTTGTGTTACCTGTCCCTCACTCTCGGGGAAGTGGTCGCTATTGTATGAGGACACACGAGCAGCCTGGATGGGGGAGATGGAGCCCCTCCCACCAGCCCTCGGGGAGTGTGCAACTGAGGTCTCCAGCCAATAGTAAGGTGACCAGGCGTCCTGCTTTTGGCGGGACAGCCCTGATTTTTAACAATTTTTCCCCGTGTCGTTTTTTTAAAAAGTTCCGATTTTTGGAAAGAATGCTCGACAAGCTACGGTGTACGGTTTTCGGCTGCCATGTGGCTATTTCCCCAGGATATGAGTTTTATCAAGGGTGTCCCATACTAATGTTAAAATCTGGTCACCTTAACCAATAGGCAAGGAGGAACCAGGGCCCCCAGCCAAGAGGCAGTGAGGACCGGGGGGCCTCCATCCCCAGTCAAGCTTTCAGGTGAGTGCAGCCTGGTCAACCCCTAGAAAGCAGCCTCCTGAGAGCCACTGAGCAGAAGCACCTGGCTAAGCCACTCTCAGAGCCCAACACCCAGAAACCAGGAAAGAGAACGCATGATGGTGTTCTTAAGTCACAAAGTTGGGTGTGTGTGACATTAAGTTACACATTACTACCTAAATGCTTAAAAAGAAAGGACCGAAAAAAATTAAAGAAAAAAAAATTCAAGCCTTGAGTTGCAACATTGAAAGATTCTATGGGCAAAATATCAAGTGATGCAGGAAGCATCAAAAGGAAGCCTATACAGTCACCGTACCATAAAAGCACTAGTTGACATCCCACCATTTCAGGAGGTAGCATAGGAGCAAGACCCAGTGATACTAGAGAAAGAAGGCTAAGCTGCACTGAAGGCATTCGCCAAAAACAAGACTCCAGGAATTGATGGAATACCAATCGAAACAGTTCAATAAGTTGGTGAAGCACTGGAAGCCCTCGCTCATCTGTGCCAAGAAATCT